ATGCATATGTTTAAACTAAAATAAATGCAAAGTATAAGTTCAATTTTTGTAAACATGAACATTAACCAAAGAAGAAATTTTGGAGATCTTTTCAGAAGAACGAAAACAAACAAACGCCACACAGCATTTGTTATTTTATTCAAACGATTTGTTTAAAGACACATTAAGCCTCAGAATCAATATTTTTTCATTCTTTAGAAATGTCACACATGCAAAATGTAAGCAAAGTAGTATTTTGGTTCCATATGAAATACTAATGCTCAAAAATTATAACGATTGCAAATAGAGCTATTATTGCAAAAGATGTATCTATCCATGTATTTATCCAAATATTCATATAACATGTAAGGGCTTAAAGTAATGCAGACGATATAATAAGGTAATTGAATTAAGGGCATTAAAACCATTAAATAAATACTTACAAGGTATTTTATGTAAAATAAGAGATATTTATTAAATGCTTCTCTTGACATAAATATTTAAGTATTAAATTTACTAAGTTATACCAGGTACATTTTTACCTGAAATATCAGTGTCTGCATTGCCTGTAGACGTTGCTCTAGCTGCTTACGAGACAGTTTGGCACATGGTACAGCAATAAAGCAAAGCTGCAGGATTACTATGTGTGCACATTTCATAGCTGGATATGCTTTTCTTCAACTGTAAAAATATTTAAATCTCATAATATGTGGTATAATTTATTCTCAAATTGGCTAAATAATCGAGCCAATTTGAGAATAAATAATATACATTTATATTTTACGTCTTACGTTGCCTATATTTCTACAGAGTTAATAAAGTTTTTTGCCAAATGAAGATGATATTTTATTGTATAATAAAGTAATTATATAATATCTTCTTCATTTTGGCAAAAGCTTTATTAACTCTGTAGAAAAATAGGCAACATATGACGTAATATTGAAATACAACGTTTGACACTAAAGATCTGGCATTTAACTATTAAAATCTTTTAAAAATATCATTATATTTATCATGAAGTATTAATGGCTCCTTTACGGATTTAGAGTTTAGATCTAAGATACATGAGAGTTTCAAAAATATTAAAAATATAACAATAATAAAATAAGTTTAAATATAAAGAACGATGAAATATAAACTTATTAATTACCTTCTAGTTATAATAAAGCGAACTCAGATTTGATCAAGCAGTGGTTATCAGCAATAAATACAAAGAATTTCGAGTCGATCGGTCAAGTTAATAGCACTACTTGAGAAAAGTTAAGGCTAAAATGTTTGAAGTTTCTTAGACATTTTTAAGTTTTATCAAATATGTATACCTATTTTCTAACTTTTTTCAAGCATGTACATTTTTCTGTCATTAAAAGTATCTACTATCATTGATATGCATTATTTTTGTTTTACTTCACAGTTTTGTCCTCGTGTCTTTTCATTTTGAAAGTTACTTTGATAGTAAGTACATTTTAGAGATAAAGTTTACTTACATGTACTTGTGCACCGCACCGGTGGAATGCTTCACTCCATTCACCGTTCGAAGAAACGGTACTGTATTTAATAAGCTGTTATATTTGTGTAGATGAATTGATGTTTTGTGTCAATTATCTGCGTCATATTCATCATCATCATCATCATCATCATCGCTATGATAGTCATCATCATTACTTACCACGATAATAATTGAAATGATTTTTATAAAAATAAGTTGAAAGCAGGTTATTTTAACCATCGTTCGACTTAATTTTATTTTGTCATAACAATTTTCTTTTCCAAATAGTAAAATGACTCGTTCCAAAATAAATATAAAACGCTCGTTCCAAAATAAATAATTTAAAACAACGAAGTTTATGTGAACATATTGACGTCATTAGAGTCTTCGATTATTTCAATTTTCTAGCAAGTGGAATTGCTGCAACCAAGCCTATATGTGACAAAGGCTTCAAAATATCTCTTTTATTACCAATACTATATGCGACTGAATATAAATATTATTTTGTTAAACAAAGAAATTAAATAGTTTCTGTTTAGGCCTAAAACACTTAAATCTATCATCCCAAAAATGTGAGTACGTTCATAACTTTAAAGATGATCTTATTTTTTACATCCGACATTGGCTCATTGAACAAAGTAAGGGCTGAACAAAATCAGCTTATCAACATGTAACATATTTATATGATAAGTGGGCAATTTATCGTCACAATATTTATGTTGCACATAAACGTATAAAGTATATTTTTTGTTTAACATTGACATTAAAATGTATTCATGTTTTTATATTAGAAGAGAGATAATCATGTCATCTTATAATGACATAAGTTGTCCTAGTTTTCTCCCTAAGAAGTCACGAGTGTCTTGAAAAGATAAAGTCCTAATGATTTTCTGCCTTTGTTATGCTTTCCTAATTTTTATTTTCAACTGTATTTAAGAAAAAAGTGCATCATGGAAATTAGACACCTTGGCTGAATTCAAAATGTGACTGTTTACATCGTTTCAGAGACAAGTGCTTATAGTCATTGTTATTCAGTAATGTCAATAAATTCCTGTTATTTGATTTCTCTTCTGATTGTCCGGAGTGAATTCAACCATGTGGTGAATGACATTTGAGTTCCGTTCAAGCCGGTACTAGGGGGTCATGAGGGATGTTGCACTTTTCATTATCTATCACGTACATTAGTCTGCTATTTTCATGTAATTTTTGTGTTTTTAATGCTTCCGGGGAATCACTTTGTTGCCAGATATTTATGTATCAATCAGTTATTAAATCAAAAGATATGTTAACTGATCTGCATATTGTCTCTTTTTCAAAATATAATTTTAATGGATTATATCTTATTAAATATACTTTACTTCCGAGCTTAAGTCACGATTTTTGATAAAAGAAAATACTCTTCCGACTGCTCGGAATGTAATCAGCCTTGTGGGCTTTAGACATTTTTGTAATCTTATAGTAAATGTATATTATTTATGATTATCCGGAATACATTGTATTAAATGTTTTATTCAGCCATTGGACAAAATACTGCCAAAAGAAATCTAAAAATCTGGAAACAAAGTGATCCCTCGGAAGCATTAATCACAACACAATTACGTGCAAATTGCAGACTCGGTTTGATCGAGTCTGTACATAAGGGATAACGATCCCAAACTCAGTAAATAGTTTAAATCTAAATGTGTGTTATTCTATATTTTCTTATCCTATTCGAAATTATAGCACATTAACCAGTATATGTTTGTTAATATTTGCGGTGTTTAATGCTTGATAATTGTTGCTGTTGTTTATAAACGATGTACTGGAAGTTAATACATGTACATTAAAGATTGTTACAAACTGTGTGCCATCGATAAAATACTTTCTCATGATGGTCCATTGATTGTAATTCAATCATTTAGAATGTAAAAAAAACTTACTGTGATATATTTTCTGTTTGATTGTGCAGAGTCATTTTGATAAAGTTATTTTTCAGCAAACCCATTATAATAATGATAAACCGTTTGATCGAACAAAAATTCTTTGAAATATATAACTATCCGTGGTTACATTGTAAGTACCCAACACTTAAAGATGACAAAGCCAATTTAGATTATCTTTCTAATTGTGCATACGTCGCGTTAAACTTTGTTCTCTTTTTATATATGGGTGTTTGGCCTCCGTTTCTTTGTTGTGTGTGATGTGTGTACGTGCGCGCGCGTGCGTGCTTGCGTGCGTGCGTATGTGCCAGAGCAATTATTATTTATTATTTATGTTGTTAGGCGCTTTAAAGGGATACTTAGGCAAATTAATGTCAAAAATATTAAAATGATATTTTTTACACGATAAAAGGACATTTGTTTTGAAGTCCCAACAAAAATTTCTTTATACATTCTATATATTTGGGTTTATAGCGGAAATACATCTTTATTATGTTGAATGAAATTTAGACGCCGTCAAAACTACAGGGTAGGTTTAAAACAAGTCATGTGACTTGAACAAACCCTGGAAGTTACAATATCAGATATTGTGGATATTGTATGATCGAAACAAGTCTAAGTCATTCATTTCAGATATTCGTTAATGTTTCCAGAGTTCACTGTGACACTATTGTGAAATAGAAACTCTCTTACCTGACCCTCGTGGGTCAAGTTCGGAAACCATGAATTTATTTCTTATAAGGAGAGAAGTTTTGTTACTGTGACTACCTTCTGTATTTGTTTTGAGAACATTTAAAGAATAAAGAATGAAAAAACGAAAACTTTGCTTTGTGTCTACTTTAAAAAAATAAAAGATATGTGCAATGAGCGTTACGAAATAAGTAATTGGTCTCACACATTTAATCTTTACTAAAAATTCACTTCTAATGATGTAAAAAAATGTAGTATATATATTTTAAGTGATGCCTCACACAGATATCATGTCGCCAACAAACACTAGGTAAGAGATGCTGATAAGCCCGAAAATTTACACGAAGATACGACGAAAAGAAACAGCCTATATCCGAAAATCAGCATTTTCTTTCCACAGCTTAAAACAATGTATAAATTCAAAGTTTTGAGGAGTTTAATATCATGTTTGCCTCTCAATATGGACCTTAGTTATACTTTTAAATGCAACGAATTATTTTTTAAAGTCTCATAACAATGTTTTTACAGTTACCTCTCTGGCGTGGGTTCGATCCGGGAGGTGCTTTGGTAGTTTAGCGCGGAGGAAGGTAGTCTAGTACTGGTGTAACTCTCCAGGAACGATGGTGAGGAAACTACCCGCCTATATGACTGAAATACTGTTGAAAAAGGCGTAAAATGAAACAAACAAACAATTAAAAACAATGTTTTTACGAATACATTTAAATTAATATATATGTTCTTTAAAGTACCCAGTTTTGTAATTACTTACGCATCAACTTATCTAGTTACACCTGCGGGTATTTTATATATATATTTTTTCTGTCCGATGTTTTATCTTTTATGTTTTGTTTTACTATGCTTGCAAAAGCAGTAAATAATTATTTTACACACGGCTGTCATGTTACCAGTGTTACATCGTAGTTTATGTTGAGCAGTATACTGGCATACTTTAGATAACGCATAACACAAAAATAGATTTTTAAACCTGTGTTTTCATCTTTTTGGAGTTTTAGATAATAGAAATGAATATATTGGAACAACATAAATGGTTTTAACAAAGTCAGGTAACATATTGCTCTGTGCTCTCTCTTACTATCACGAATCTTTTGTATTTGTTTACTTTTAGTGCACTGACTAATGTTTGTTTGTATATGGCAGGACCATTTTAATGTATGACGCGATTATCTCTATAGCATATACACTACCGGCAATTGAAATGGTGCCTATTTACGTTTGCGAAATGTACTGAAATTACACTCTGTTAAATTAAATATAACAAACTTACCATGGGGTAAATGTTTCATCATAAACCTTACGGAATGCTAAATTTCAAAGATAATGCATACTGAATGTAAAAATCAATTGACTTTTCAATAATTACTCTTTGACTATATAACTTTATTCACGGTTTCGGCTTGACATAATCAAAACTATTCTACATATTTTAAAAAAGTTATCGCAGTACTCATTTAACATGTAGTAAGTTAACTTACCATTAAACACAGTTTACACTCGTCCGGAGTACTAAGTGGTAGAATGAATACCTATTTGCAAATTAATGCATAAAAGTACTGTTTTAAAAGCTTAATTAATTACAGAATCGCTTTAGAATTAGGAATCTTTTAAATAACATTTTGAAATCTAAATTATGTAAATAAAAAAAAATTGGGACTTCCTTATATACACAACATTATTTTGGTCTGAAATACATATAAAACAAAAATTAAAAGACAATAAAACAACCATTGTTTGACCATTATTTATACAATTACTAGATTTTACTAGAAGGGTTACTCCGCAGTATATATTACCATAGAGTGCATGCGCCAGACATTTATCTCCCTTATTTAAATATCACTACTACATGACTATAATGTACTACATGACTATGACATCATTATAGGTAGCATATCATGATAACATACTTTATTTTATGCTTTTCAGTGGATTACTGATTTATCCGTGAAAATTATATTTGATAATTTCACAGTGAAAATTATCAAAATATAATTTCACTTTTTTCAATGACGAAACTACTTTTTTAAGATTTTCCCCATGTGGTACCTCAATTTTATTTTTGCTGACACTTCTGACAATATCAGGCTGTTTAAAGAAAACGCAAAGCTGAAATTGATAATCAACTTAAACGTCAAAAGTAATAAAAAGAAGAAAACTTACTTCTATTCATTCAAATTCCAATCACCAAATTTCATCTCTAAATTTTTTGTTTCATTTTTACAGTCTGACAAATACCTTCCTTCCACATGCAAACTGCTCTTGATGACATTTGGGCACATTAAAGTATCCTACGAGCAATAACTGCCGTACGCTTTATGAAAAATTGAAAAGCAATGACAGCTCTCACCTCGTAGAACAATTAAACCACCCAGCGTTCCGAGCAAGCTTCCAAGTTTTCCATTTTCCAAGCTCCTTTTCTGAATGTTTTCACATCTGTCAACACTTATTTTTTGTCTGTTTCAATCCTCAAATATGTTTTCTTTCTTTTAAAAAGGTGTATGACTAACAAATCCAAATGATATCCCTCTGAATAAAACACAATTATTTTCCTCCCGTGAAATACACAACTTTAAAAAATGGCTGCCGCTTACATTTAACAAAGCCAGGTCTAATATAAATACGCAGTAAGTTACAGAAATATGGATGGATGGTTGGAATTTTTCTCCTACAAGAATTGTTTGTTTTTATTATTAAAACAAGCGATCATTCATATTTTTTAACAAAATAAATAATATCACTGTCATTTAACGTTGATTGTCGGACTTATTTTACAGCTCAAGACTTCTTGTTTTTAATGAGAAATTCCGACTAAAAGGGGCTCTCAATGGGGAAAACAGATTTTAATATTTACATTTATATTATGGAAATTTCGTTTTAACTTGTTTTTAAGCATAAAATAAAAAGAAAGTTTGTTTTTTTGTTGTGTAAGATTTAATTTTATTTCATCTCGTGAACTTTAAAAACAGTATTCTCACTCGTGGCTACGCCACTCGTGAGAATACTGTTTTTAAAGCCCACTCGATGAAATAAAATTTCATCTTACACACAAACAAACAAATATCCTCTATATAGTTACCATAGTAAAATGACGAATGTAACACTATCGCATACCTTCTTTTGTAACGTAAGTGAATTCACTGTGTTTAGGTTTTCAAGAATAGTTTGAACTCTATGTAGTTGATTCTATTCTCTATCATAATGACTTTTCGGACAAAATCAATATGCCTAGTCAATGATTCGATAATTTATAAGTATACAGTAAGTATTTCCTTTCCTTTCTAAAAAGAAGACATGTAGTGAGAAATATTATACTTGCATTTGACATATTTCTAGCATCCTTGAAAAGTTTTGTTGTGGTTTAAACTGAATGTATGGTCCCACAGATTCGCTAGACCAGATGTAGGCTACAAGTTCTGACAGTGCTCGGCGACTGATTTTTTGTTTTCATTCTTTTTAATAATTCACTAATATGATATTGGTTGTTTATAACATAAAATCTGAAACCGTTTTAATGGGTGAATTCAAATTAATTTCAATGAATTAAAACAAGTAAAGTCGCTTGATAAAGTATTCAAAAAAAATGTTAGCAAAGTAGAGTCACGCTTTATGTTGCAAAAATTATCCCACAGATGTAAAACTTAATTCGTAACCTAAACATTTCAATTAAACAATCTACTCTATTATTTTTTATTACAAGGTTCACGGGAGTCGAGTAGCTGATATTTTACATTTCTATAATGTTCATGTATTCAATTTGACATCATGTACGACGATTCAAGTATTTTTTTCGTTGACATTTTTTAGGAATTTAAAACAATTAATATCAGTCTAGTAAACTATTGAAACACAAATAAAATGTCGGTTATGATATCATACTTGGTCAATACACAGAAGAGTCGTCATTTTGTAAAATGTTAAATCTAAGACAAAACAGAAATTCGACCACAAAGAAACGAATGAAGTGACTAACACATTTGAACATGTTTCAAGACCATTTTAGCTATGTCTAAGAATGTAATGAAAATATAAAATAAATTTTTTTACCAACTTTCTTAAAGACTGACCGAAATGAAACATTCGAAAGTTTGGAATGTGATTTTCTGTAGTAGTAAAATATCATTGTTCATTCAACTTTTAATTTTAGGTCATAAAATGTGTTGAAATATCTGGAAAAAGAGTGATCCATCGGAAGAATTAAAACAGCAAAATAACAAGTGCAACATCCCCCACGCACCCTAGCACCGGCTTTAGCGGTACCCAATTCTCAACACTTAAAAATGCTGGATTTTATGATCCCAAAGGACCAAAAAATATAACAACACTGAAGTGAAGTACGAGTCAACTTTTTACGGCTGTCACACAGAACTTGACACCTGATGTTGTGATGTGTAATGAAGCATTGATTTTTACCTGACAGCGTTATAAGATTAGGATGCATCACTTTCCGGTAAATATATTTTACTATAAAATACGTTTGTCTGAAACTGTATTCTTTTTTGAATGTCAGTCACTACATTGTTGGAAACATAACCTGGTGTTTAAACTACTAAACCAAATCAGATTGTTGAAAAATTCGGTGATAAATCTTTTCTTAAAATCTACATGTATTTCAAGAATAAAACCATTGTCATATTTCTATCAAATATTTGAGACATGCTTTCCTTAAAGTAAAATAGGAATACGAAAATCTATTTTTCCTATGACAGGTTTGGTGTGAGTTTCTTTTTTTAAATATTGTAACTTTGAACAAAATAATAATAATAATAACTGTTTTAGAAAATTGATGGCATACTTTTCAACGTAATTTCAACGCTAAATAAGTTTCTGTTATATTTCAGAGTACATTACACTTTGCAGTTGGGCTGCAATTCTGGAAGAATTTAGCAGGGAAATGTATACTAGAATTTGGAAAAATTGTTTGCATCTTAGTTTTATGGCTTCATATTGTTTTTGACCTTAATCCGGATATTATTGTATGTTTGTTCATATTATTTAAAGTACATGAAATGCCGTATTATGGAACGTTTAATACAACGAGCTGGATTGATATATTTAGACAAATAGTTTACATCGTACTAATAGCAGTATACTGGCCTTTGTGCCTTGGTTACGAGGGTCCTAATTTCACATCCATTTCCTTATATATAATTCTCAGCTGTGTCGAATGTTTTGGAGACAGTTGTGCTCATCCTTACATTTATGGATCAAATCAAAGTCAATCAGTTTTGGATTATTGTGATCTATGTTCTGTCGTAGCTTATCTAACGAAAAAGTATGTGTTTGGTTACCGTAGTATAATTGCGTTAATATTCACTGTTTTCCACCAATATTGTCACTTGAGTTTTGTATTACCTGCCTGTAAGCAAATAGAACATAGAATTAAGGAAGCATATTTAAGCTTACGATCGTATATTGTTCTACGGCATAGATTTTTGAAAAAGTATGGCAAAAGGAAAGTCTGCTGTTATTTTCTAATTTTTGTACTGAAAATATGTACTATTTTGATGTTTTCAATAGGAATAATAAAAATGAACCAACAGATTTCCGTTATGTACAGAGAATACGGTTGGCAACAGACGATAGATTTTTCAAATGAAAGTTTGTTTGATTATAGATTCACTAGCATGAACAACTATTCACATCCATTGTTATATACATTTGAAAAGTGCATCCAAAATACATGTTCAACAGTAATATCTAACAAAGCAGAAGAAAGCTATTTAAGAAAATGTGACATCAAGAAAACCACATCAAATGAACATGTATTATTATCTGTTAAGGATATCAATTGGGATAGAAATAGTGTGTATGTTTGGACTTTTAACGATGTACCCGTTTCTAAAATCAGTGCATATAAATATGTTCAAGTGAGAAAACCACCAGATTTTTACTTGATTATAAGGAATGTGAATAGCTATGACTTTGGAACATACACACTTGTTAAACAAATGTGTGTCAATCTAAGTAATTGTGAAAATACGCCTTTTTACAGGCCGCACAAACTTCTCATACAAAATGAGATTATACCGGTAGGAGCCATAGCATGTACTCATCTCATTGAACAGGACAGTAATTTGATTATCCATGCTTCCTTAGGAGAATTGATAAAACTGGCTAATATAACTGTGATTATGGAAAAAGGAGATACTAGTACCATTTATGAATTTCAAAGTGATTCCTTTTGGCAACGAAATGAAAACAAGTGCGGTGTTTTCACAAAATCAAAATTCAAAACAGGTTATTCAATGGAAATAAATGATATCACGGAGCAATGGTGTGTAATAAAACTACAAATGTTATTTTGCGTCTCTCCTGACTTATACTGGAACCAAAATTACATCTTGTACTGGATCAATAACATTCCCATGCATTATACACTTTCTTTTGAACCGCCGCTTGTTGATCTTTTTAATAAAGAATTTCTTGATTATTATCTACAGTGTGAACATATGGGCTACGCCTTGAAGACATTTTACAAATGCATTGATACATTTTATTTTCAAGACAAACATTTGTTGAATGTAACTTTAAAACAATACGATATAATGAAACGTAAAGAGTTGGCAGTCTATGTCTGTCTTTTTATAGTCTACTATTTGCTGTTTGTGTTTTGTCTTAGCATTCTTGATAAATTGTTATTTCATATATTTCATACACAAGTTAGAAATGTTATAAGTAATATGAATTTGTTGTCAACTAAGCCGTTTGAATTTGACATTTATCTATCCTACAATGATGAATTTCCAAATGACAGAAGCTTCGCCGAAGAAACAATTAAATATAACCTAATACAATCCAAAGGGTACAAAGTTTGTGATTGTGAAAATATAAAGCTCGGCCAACACAGACGTATAGCATTTGAGGAAAACATAACCAAAAGTAAATTGCTGGTTATACTTCTATCTGCCGAATATTTAAAAAACGAGATATGTATGCAGCTGGAATATGAATATACTCTGTTATCTCTTATTGGAGCATCGAAAATATCTAGAGACAACGTTTTAATACTTAAAATGGATACTTGTCCACGAGACGCTAGACCGTTGACTCAAGTCCACGTGCTTGACTGGACTGACACGGTAAATAACTTACGAACGGAGTCAGAAAAGAAGGAGAAACTGCACGAATGGTTGGTTCAACGTTTCAGAAAACCTGGAAAACTTAAAATGTCTTTAATTTCTTGGGTTCTGTGTCCTATCTTACGAATGATTGGCTTAGATTTGCAACCAGGGAATATTGAAAGACAATGACAACGATGGTGGTATAATTTATACTTACATGACATAGTGCTTAATTATTTATTATGTAAGCATTGTCACTGCTTGTTGTATAAGATAACAATTTTATTTCAATCCTCTAATAAAAATATCGTTTGACACATTTGTGACAATTATGAAAACTGTTTATGATTATGAAATAAATTTTAGTATGACTGTGTTATTGTTTTAAGTTTTGGTATATTGAATGGTATATGATCGTCGAATCGACTTATTTAGAATATACATACATCCCTATCGGTGATTGTTGGTATTGTATTACTCTATGATTTTATAGTTGGATTTAATGTTATGACGGGTAAACGATAATAAGTTGACCCAGTGACTACGTACTACATAGAACAGCAGTAATATATCTTTGCTGAGAATAAATAGTTTTCCTTTTGGCTTAACCTCAATGTCTGAAGTATACCCTTATCATACAAATATTATAGTGATTCAAGTACTTAGTTAATGCTTTTGATAATGATTTACTGGGCATTTGTATAAAGATATTTCTTTTTTCGTCCAAAATATGTATTTTATTTCAGGTGAAAATTTAAAACCCTTACAGTAAATTATAACTTAAATAATTGCCTATTTATAATATTTCTAGAGAACTAATTAATGGATGATCACAAACTTTGTCTGTAGCATTTTTATGAAGTCTTTTATCAAGTTTTCTAAATTAAATATTATTTTGATTGGCCCCGTTTAGGGACCGCAAAAGCTAAAAATAGATATACCTTTAAATGTCTATTTCTACACAACTAATTGATGGAAGATCACCAAACTTTGTCTGTAGCATTCTTGGGTAGTCTTTTATCAAGTTTGCTCATATTAATTTGATTAGCGCCTTTTACGGGTCTCTAAAGCTAAAAATAGAAATACCTTTAAATGTCTATTTCTAAAGAAATAATGGATGGATGATCACCAAACTTTGTCTGAAGCATTGTTGGGTAGTCTTTTATCAAGTTTGCTCATATTATTTTGATTGGCCCCTTTTAGGGGCCGCTTAAATTAAAAATAGATATACATTTAAACGTCTATATCTACAGAACTAATTGATTGATGATTACCAAACTTTGTCTGTAGCTTTATTGGGTAGTTTTTTATTAATTTTGCTCATATTTTGCTCATATTAATTTGATTAGCCCCTTTTAGGGGCCGCTAAAATTAAAAATAGAAAAACGTTTAAACATCTTCTCCTACAGAACTAATGAATGGATGATCACCAAACTTTGTCTGTTGCATTCTTGGGTAGTTACTCTTTTATTAAGTTTGCTTATATTTATTTGATTGGCCCCTTTTAGGGGCCACTAAAGCTAAAAATAGAAAAGCCTTTAAACATCATTTCCTACTGAAATAATTGAAAGATGATCACCAAACTTAGTAGCATTCTTAGGTAGTCTTTTATCAAGTTTGCTCATATTAATTTGATTAGCCCCGTTTAAGCTAAAGCTTAAATGCCTCAGGTCATGTCATTTCTTTAAATTATTGTTTAAACATATTCTATGCTCAAATTTAATAGAATATATTGACATTCCAACACTGATAAGCAGTTGTTTCTGGTGAGCTACTCAGGGCCATCATGGCCATCTTGTTGTTTTTTTGTTGTTTTTTTTTTGTTTTTTTTTGCTGCAAACTATTTTTTTTCAGAGACTTGTTTCGCTACTGCAAACCGATAGGATAGTAACTTACTGTTCACTAAAATGCCAGGAATAATGTATACATGAAGACTTAAGTCAATGCTCTACATGAATCCTTTTTCCAGTCTACGAAATCTACATAAGCAAAAATACAATAAAATAACGGGGGTAAGAAATAATTTACACTCGAAACCAACATTTTTATGCAGAGGATAAATATACTACGTTTCATAACGATTTACAACATTACTGAATAATACAAAACGCTAAAACGTGCTATAATTTTGCGCAAGGAGCACACCGGCTGTAATAAAAGTTATCACAAGAACTCTAGGACACCTTCTGAGTTTTCACAAGAACTCCAGGACATTTAAATTCGTACACAATTTTTTTAGTCGTGGCTTTATGTTTGCAACTTTGCATTATAACTTGGTAATAATCGTGTCGCCTTGAAAAGGGACATATAGGGGTTAGTTTTGTTGTCGGCGTCAGCGACGTTATCGTTGTTGGCGTCCGGAGCATAACTCAGTTGCTATAAGTCGGATTGACTCCAAACTTGATATACATGGTTCTTTCAATGACCCAAAGTGTAGTGCACAAGAATTGTTACTCTGCACTACTTAATTTTTGAGTTATTGCCCTTCGTTAATTTTTATACTTTATTTTTATCCGGGGCATTTCTCCTAAACTATAAAAGCTATTGACTTGAAACTTCATAGGGTGATAGATTTTATTAAAAAGAAGTGCATTTAACAAAAATCGATACTCTGTAATTCTTATTTTGTTAGTTATTGCCATTTGTTAATTTTCATACTTTATTTTTGTCTGGACCATGTCTCTAAAACTATAAAAGCTTTTGACTTTAAACTTCATGGGATGGTAAATCTCATTGAGATAAAGTGCAGTGTTTAAAAAGCGGTACTGTTTACTTCATGATTTTTTAGCTATTGCCCTTTGTCAATTTTCATATTTTATTTTTGTCTGCGCCATTTCTCCTTAACTATAAAAGCTATGGATTTAAAGCTGCATAGGATGGTGGATCTTATTGCACGAAAACTGGTACTCTGTACTTTTTTGAGATATTGCCCTTGTGTATTTTTATATTTCATTTTTGTCCGGGCCATTTCTCCTAAACTATAAAAGCCATGTACATGAAACTTCATAGGATGATAGATCGCAGTGAGATGAAGTGCAGTGCATAAAACCGATTCTTTGTACTCCATGAGTTTTTAGTTATTGCTCTTTGTTAGTTATAAAACTTTATATTTGTCCGTGCCAATTCTCTTACACTTTAAAAGCTATTGACTCAAAACTTCATAGGATGATAGATCTCATCGAGAAGAAGTGCAGTGCTCAAGAACTTGTACACTACACTTCATGATTTTTGAGTTATTGGCCTTAGTTATTTGTTAATTTTCTTACTAAATTGGCTTGCCAAGAGCACAACTTGGTCACTATCAGTTTGATTGACTCCAAATTTGTTTTGTATGCTATTTTCATTGACCTGAAGTGCAGTGTTAAGAATCCATCACAGAGTACTCAATCTGGTCTGTCAGTGTAAAACGTTTCTTTGGTATTTTTATTTTTGATAATATAACAGTTTTATGAATCATGATGTAACAATGTTACAATCAGTTCAAATGCCACTTAAGTTCAAGGTACATGTACATTGTAAAAGCATTGTTTATAAATAATCTATATTTAAGGGGAAATTGTCTTAGCTATACTGTTCACAAGGCAACACGTCTGACTCGCGGAGTTCTAGTGTATTGTAAGGGGGAAGATCACAAATGAACAGGTCAATTTGTTCGAATAAGCAAATTATTTGGGACTTTTACTCAAAACTCCCAGATTTTAAACAAGAGACGATGAAAAAAGCACTAATACTGAATTATTATTTGACACATAATACAAGATAATACAAGATATATGGCAAGCTTAATCATTAAAGCACCTAAAACTTACTTTTTAAAGATGAAAGTCTCTGGAATTTTTATTAAATATCTTAAATAACACTGCATATGTCTAATTTGTAGACTGATTATGGAACGATTAGTAGAAAAAATAAAGAAAAGGTTTGTTAAACACACGATTGATGTGATATGACAAACATAAAATTGAATTAAAGAATCAATATTGTCGGTAAGAGCTTACAGCGTTCAAAGATTAAACGCAAAAATTTAACGCAAAAAATAACCCCAAAAATGCGAGAAAAAGAAAATAATTAGAAGAATTTCTTTAAAAAGAGGGAGAACAAACCAAAGCTATAGAGCCAAATCAAATAAATTTTAGGAACTTGGAAAGAATTAGTAACACATACCTGGGATCTGAGAGAACAATGCTCAGTTTCGAATATTACTGTAAGTAGGCTTTGAGGACGAAGTCCCTACTTTTATCCTTTTTTTTCAGAAGAAAACCTTGATTAGGTTCTCAAAGGTTTTGGATTTAAAAGATAATTGGCTCTAAAATTGCAATAAAAGCAAAAAAGAGTTTCAGAATAATTACCAATGTCACGATCTATAAAACAGGACAAAAAAAACAGAGACAAAAATCAGGTGTGAAAAGGCGTTATAATTGGAAGTAAAAGCATGAAGTCTATTTTTGAATTATTTTTTGAGTTATTTCACGTGTCGCTTACTTACAACTTTAGGGCGGGCGAATGCATTTGGGTTTGATGTAATGATCTTGTTCAGGAGGATACACAAATTATGAAATAAGCTTTAATGATTAATGCTGAAAATATCAAGGCAATAGGCGAAGGCGTTCAAAACACAAGGGAACATTCCGAAGAATTCTCAACCTTAACTTAACCTGAAACGCAGTCTGGTAACTTGTTTGCTAGTGTTGCTTGCTGTTTCAACAAAGTTGATATAAATAGAGATGATATGACAGACGGTTATGGAATTAAATTCTTAAATGTCAGCATCACCCAGGCTAAAGAGTCAAATTTCATTGCGACAATAGAAATTGTTGTTGTTTAGTTTTTAATGGCACACCAAGACAGAATAGGTAGCATGTAAATCGGCTAGATATCCACGAGGCTTAAGTCAACGAAATGTCCCAGAAGGATCTTTCTGTTTTATTGTGACAGAGAATTTTCTATTTGCAGGAATAGTTGCACTCATTCCATGGATGCCGAAGTTAGGTGTTTGGGTTGCCTCAAACAATTCAAGACAGTTTCATTTTTAACGAAACAATAGAAAATTTGCAAATGAACGCTGATATAAGACGCTATTTCTTCAGGCATGCGTAATGGCCTTAAAATAATCTTATTTTTTTGTATTTTCCCTTTCACAGATATTTAAGTTTTGTGTAAATCTTAAAGCATCTTATTGTTGCTGCTAATAACCTTCTTTTGTATTTTATAAAAAATTCAAAATATACTTAGTTAATCGACAATTAAATAAAAATAGTTCAGAGAGACTAGCATATCTGCTAGTTTATTGTTAGCAGGAAATATTATAAAAAAAGATAGCTTGTATTTTACTTGAAAATTACTCAAACAAAAATAATGTTGTTAGAAAGAAGATATCGTATTAAACAAAACAAGCGTAGTAGTACTCTTTAGTTTCAGAAAAAGCATGTGAGATTTTGAAAAAAGCAAAAACTTGACAAATATAACAGTGGTACATGCGTAACTTCCCAGGCCTTGTAGACCGCGGCCAAAACAAGATTCTACATGCACGTTTAAGTAGTCCCAAGAGCATTTTTATTGTACTGCAGTTAGCAACGTCTGATAATCCGCAGCTAATACATAATTTTAGGGCTGCATGCCTAAAACCATATAAAAATATAGACCACGTACACATCTGAATGTTAAACATTTGAAAACTAAACATTGTTAATCAGAAGATATAGAACAATTTGTGAAATTGAATATTGAAAATATAAAACAAATGTATATGTAGAACTAGTTATAAACAATCTTTGACATATACATATTTAAATAATATTCTCAAGTTCTTAAGATCAATGATGAGTCTTACAAAAGGCATAAACAAAACCATTATCACGAACTCGTACGGTTTTATAGAGGCGGATGTCTGGAGAAAGATAAGAATATTAACAACATTTCAATTATTTCTTCATTGTTAATCTGATTAAAATAAATGCTTAAGTACATTTCAAAAATGTGTTACTTTTCCTAATTTAAGCGTATGCAGTCCTTTAAAATTATTTAGGATATACATACTATGATCATCCTTGTGTAAAATATTTTAATCACAAAAAATTATTGAGATCTGTGAAATTCTTACTGAATATGTCCTATGAGTATAGAAGAATGAATGAACTATGTTTGAGAAGCTGCATTTCCTGTTACAGGTCAATTGAAGCTGTCCTTTTTATGTCAGTTATTTTAATGACACTTTAGATATATTCATATTATGACCCCCTATGGTGTGTAGAATTTTAAACATAACATATCTACTTTGTGTGAACTCAAAACATGTTTTTTTTATATTTACGAAGAGATTGTTTAGCAATTATCATTATTTTCTCATATCAAATTCGTGCATAGTATATCTTTAATTTTAGGATGGTGTCAGCGGTCGGACCGTCAAAATATACCATAATATCATATTGAAACAGTTAAATATATTTTTGTTTAACCGCCAAATAAAATTTACCAAAGCTGTACTATTGATACATCTTTATTGGTGGGAGGTTAGCTGCTTTGCAACTGAAACAGTCCTTAAAGTTTTCTGATAAAAGATAAAACTATATTTTCCCATTAACATTGCGTTGACCACCCTCCCCCCCTAAAAACAAAACCAAAAAAAAAAAAAAAACTCTTCTTAATAATTTAAATTTACATAACGACACTTTGGTTTTGCTAGTAAATGCTGTATTTAAATCATATGTGATTCATATTGCATGTAAATGGTTTTTATAAAAAAAATATGTTGTAATTTTATTTTATAATATATGATTTCCAATATATATGATGAAACAAACTGAAAGATGAAATGACCCAGATACCATGTATATCATCAAAGCAGTTGTAAAAAATGAAATTAATACATTAAAATTAATTAAGGAAACATCAAAACGTTCTTTAATTTCATTAATTGTTTTAACAACATTGCATTATTTTATTCCTTTGTAAACTCTTAAAGATTTAAGGTTAAGTTTTACTCCTCTTCGTGTTATATCAATATTATTGCGAATAATGACCAACTTATCAAACGTCATTATTTAACAATTATGATCATAAGGATCTCTTCCGTTTAGATGATATCATCGGATGATGTACAAAAAATCAACACCGTACGCTGACCCAATTAAGTTTGGATTAAACTGCTTTAGGCCTAAAGGGGCATGATAGATTACTTGTTATCAAAATTGACAGATATACATAACTTATTCACTTTCGGAAAGGACACGTGCTTATCAGAACTAGCGTGTTAGTATAATAGAATGCTGTCCTTTCCTTTTCAAAAACATAAATTGGAGACATACAAGTAGATGTAGAAATACATATGCATACTCGTAGGCGTTCATAGATAATTTGGTCTATGAAACATAATATAAAATGCTTGGCCTTGTATTTTTTCAAGAGGTGCTCTTCACGGCAACAACGCATTGTATTTATATCTTTATTCAAATGTGTGCAAAGTATAGATTTGAATTTGCGTAAGTAAAATTATTTTTTTATAATTATGGGACTGATTTCAAATTTTCAAATATAATTTGTATAATATAATAATTAAATTATTATTAAGTTATATGGTTTATTTTAGTTTAATGTGAATGTTTAAACATTTTGACATTACGTGGTACCTTAAAACATATAAACTTTGATAGATTTGTTACGTTTAGTTTATTAAGATTTGTTTTGTTATCTAACTAGTGTTCCTGTGCTTCAAGCAATTGTTAATGTTCCATGACTCGATTTAATAGGCAATAGGAAATACTTTATACTTAAAATACCGAGCAAATTATATATAAATATTTTCAAAGCATGAGTTAACTTGTTTTTCAGTTGAAATTAAACGAACCGAAAGGTATTTCAACAATGAAATCTGGACACATAGTTATCCTACAGTTATGTTTTATTTTTGTGCTATGTGCCAAACTGTCTCGTAAGCAGCTAGAACAACGTCTGCAAGCTATGCAGACACTGATCTTTCAGGTAAATATACCTGATATAACTTATCATATTTTGCATATCTCTGCAACGTCCACGTAGGTGATTAGTTATGTTTCAATAATGCCCCTGTACCGATCGTCTTATTTGTGTATATTTTATGATCCAGTCTTCCCATCGTTATGTGGATAACTTTCGTTTCTATAGGATTACTATTACTGCATACTTTGTTACAAGATCATACTCAAAAAGATGCTATATTCAACTTTAATGCAAGGCAGGAAACACGGTCAAATCTTTACTAACTTTGCAATTCCACATATATTATCATTTGTTATTTATTCACGCATTTCAAATGAAGATAAATTATTTTTCAAATCATTTTCAGGATACGCAAATTATGAAAGAAGGAATCCGAAATAATGCTGAAGGTTTACAAACATTAGCCAAAAACATGCAGAAAAATTCTGATTTGCTTCAAGAAACCCTATCATTTGTCAGGAATGTAAATTTACAGGATGCGAAATCTAAAGACGCAGAAATACAGTACAACCCTAATACACAAGTTAACATTTCAAATATCAAAATATTGCAACGTGCATTTAAAGAGCTCAAAATGCATTCTTTGTCATTGCAAGTAAACACATTCAATCAGTTGGAAGAATTTCTTGAACAGCAAAACACATTCATGAAAAATATTTCTCTATATCTTGCAACTATGGAATCCAAAGATAGAGATGAGCTAAATGAAAATCTAATATCAAACATAAAAAAACTGGCCTCGTGTGCGAACAATAACCAAGACAGTACTCCAGGAACACTGTTGGTCGAATATAGCAAAATTTTAAAGAAAGCTGAATCAGTCTTAACGGAAGTAATCAATGGTCAATCCATAATTTCTAATAGTCTTTCGAGATTTACTCCCTATCAAACTAATGCAGAGGACAAGATCACATCAAGCTGTTTCAACGTTGTCTATTCAAAAGACACTGATGTGGCAAACAACGAAAATGACCATAACTGCTACAATATAAGTGCACAACCAGGGAAAAGAGTTACTTTTCATTGCGGTAATAGAAATATTCGTCTAGGAGATGCGCTCATTACAGAGGTAGCTGTCGAGGGTCGTATTGAAGTAAAATATAATAACCACTGGGGAACAGTTTGTCAAGATGGTTTTGATCAGAAAGATGCAATAGCAGCATGCAGATCGGCTGGATTTGCAAGAGGTGTAGAGGAAAATCGTGTCCATAAAGGATCCGGACAAATTTGGCTTTCACATCTTTCTTTTAAGGGTGGAGAGCAAGAATTGTTTGATTGTAAGAGAAGTTATGGTATTGGTTACCATAGATGTGATCATTCTGAGGACGCTGGAGTAAGATGTTTTTGGTTGCCTTAAATGATTCAAAATTAAAGTGTTTGCAAATGACTCATTTTGCATATGACGTTATAATAAAATCAAGCGTTGTCGTGTAATGAACATTTTGAATTTATATATAATTTGTGCTCAGTTCTAATAGCATTGTTACTACAAATGACCTTGTAATACACATTTTATCTTTTAATAGTTCTTATTTAATTAGTCGTTAAAGCTTTCTTAGAACTTTATCTTTAGCAACCGATGCTGTTTAGACCGTTACTGTACATAATCGTGAAGTCGCCGATAATCCAAATTATCTTAAATTTTAGATGTTCCGAGATGTCTTCTAGGGATTGATAATGAAGCAATTGATACACTTTCATAACCTCTGACCCCCTTTCAAAATTCCATTTGGTTTAGTTCCGCTCGCTTATTGTTTTCTCGTTTAGGGCACACGCATTTTTCTCTTGGGGAACATTCGCCGCTTTTCATGGAATGGCACTAACGAGTTACATTGAGAGTTCCATGATCACCGCCGTATGAACACTGCAGATGTTTTTTAATTCAAAATTTTACCATTACATGTTTAAATGTTGAATACTGCTTAAGCCGGTGCTAGGGGGCTGTGGGCAGTTGCTTGCACTTTTCATTACTGTCCATGAACAAACTCAATCAAAACGAAAATGATTTTTGAAGGCCTCAATTAAAAATGGCTAACTTCTTCTTATAAATACATAGTTTAATTTGAGTGAAGCTAGAGTTTATTTTAGAATGGAGCACTGCTAAGATCTGTCAAATAAAAATTATTCCCATGTATTCTACCCCCTACTCCCCACCCCGCCCCTAAAAATGATTTACAATTAAAAATTACTTTATTTTCGTTTTTTGTAATGATTTTAACAAGAATATCTTTTTATAAAATAAACTTTTTGTAAATACATCCTGCGACATTTCAGTTCAATACCTACTATTAAATTGCTCAATTACCTATGTTTGATTGTTTGTTTGATTTGGGTTTTACGTCACATCGACACAGTATAGGTCATATCGCGACGTTCCAGCTTTACTGGTGGAGGAAGACCTCAGGTGCCCTTCCGTGCATTATTTCAGGCACGAACGGGTACCTGAGTAGAACCACCGACGTTCCGTAAGCTAGCTGGATAGTTTCCTCACATGAAAGAATCCAAAGTCCCTGTCGGGATTCGAACCCACAGAGGTGAGGGGCAAGTGGTTGAAGTCAACGACCTTAACCTCTCGGCCACGGACGCCCCAAATTACCTATGTGAGATCATTTATAATTTTTAAATATTTTGTTCAACAATAAAAAAATCAGTTACCTATTTGGAAGAATACTGTCATTATTTTTGAAAAGATAACAATTTTATTACCCTGTTAGGTAAATACAGTTTGAAGTAGTTTACTATTAGAGAGTAATCTCCCTTTTTCTAAACTTAGACCATAGCTTATACATTTGTTCAGGTTTTATTTAAGCCACCTTTGCACCAAGCATTGGCAATTCCTAAGTAAATGGTCGATATTTAACGCCGTGCCATTTTATCACTATTTTAAACTTAATAAAGCGAGCCATAAAATAAAGGATTTCTGAATGCAGTGAAATTTTGTGTGCCTTTTCCATTACTTAACACATTCTCTTGTTATTTAACATGATTATATACCTTTAATAAACCATATCAAAGTATTTATTGGAACCAATGTAATTCTCACTCTTTACTGTAAGATTTGGTTAGTGAAATACAGCAAAATAACAATTTTCAAACACCAATCACATCTGGATTATTTCTAATTTCATTTGCTAAAATATATGTACATTCATTGAATGAAATTGTGGACTTGTTGGGATGCCTTGATGACAGAAACGACGGTCTCTTTAAAAGCATCTGACAAACAGCCCTTGGTGTAGATGGATAATCCGTCAATAAACATTTAATCTTAATAATCATTTCTGGAATTGGTCATATGAAAATAAATTCCATGTTCAATTCAACATATGTATCTTTTATGACAGTTTTCACTATCTTAAACTAACTTATTATCATAAAAATGTTATTTAATAATAAAGGAATTACTTTCATAATTATAAAAAAACACATAGCTAGGCTGATACAGTATTTCAAGGTGATTGTGGAATACCATTTTATCTCTAAAAATAGATTGAGGCATGCGCATTTTAGGGTAGCAGTTTATTTACCGTCGCTGTCATATCATGACGAGACGTTAAGGAGTAAACAATTTATATGTTGTCGATATATTTAACAGGTATTTATCTTTGTTCATTATTTAATTTTGTATCAAATCTGTTCATGCATTTTATTGAAGGTCATTTATTAATTTAATATATTTGTATTCAGCTATACATTATTATTCCGATAAAAAGAGGGTTAATGCACTATTTACATAATTTAAGGATGCATTTTAATGCATTTAAGCACGACCGAATAATCTAATAAGTTCGAGGACATCTGCAGATGTTAAGACACGAAAGTAAGTTGCACGAGTGCTATCCGTTCATTAAATAATACGTCTAAAACAATTATTCCGCCGCATTCCGTTATCTGTGTTGTGTATAATGTTTCTTCTAGTTAGACTCGTTTGTCATTACTTGTTGACAATACATGTTACATAACTCCCTGGATCCACTTTTGCAATAAACGTTTTACATTGCGCCCTGCGTCACGCATATTGAAAACACGTGCATCACCAACAGCAACACCTTTCACTTAATGTAACTGTTTCTTTTACATTAATGTACACCTCTTAACGTGACTTGTCATTTAAAGAAAATATATATGTGCAATAATTTTCATTGTTAAATACACTTAGATATTTCGTTTCCGGTTAAATGTATCGATAACCTTACATTTTGAAAGTTACGTTACAGTACTTGGTGTACATCAGGGGCAAGGGCTTATCTGAGTTTATTTGAATATATGCCAAGCTGAGGTTTTGGGCTAAATGGTTGCTACGACTAAATGACAGGGGATAAAACATAAGAAAACAAATTTTGTGTAACCAGTTTTGGACAAATACATTGCTTGTTTTAAATATTCCTCTCCCAATATGAGTGAAATTATATTTTTCTACGTATTAATCAACATAAGATAAGTTAATTCTATTTATACCTTACATAGATGTGTTCCTTCTTTTTAATGTAAGTGCCAAAGGCATTTAAATAATATGAGGCGTGTCACGACAAAACCAGCATAATGCGTTTGCGACCAGCATGGATCCAGACCAGCCTGCGCATCCGCGCAGTCTGATCAGGATCCATGCTGTTCGCTATTAGTTTCTCTACTTGTTATAGGGTTTGTAAGCGAACAGCACGGAGGATCCTGATCAGACTGTGCGGATGCGCAGGCTGGTCTGGATCCATGCTGGTCGCAAAACCATTATGTTGGTTTTGTCGTGACGGGGCTCATATACTGTTCTCGATGACGTGGCGGGTCTCACAAATATTATAGCGATGACTTTGTGGACACTTAAAATAAGTTTTTGTCGGACCCCTACAATGTTTCTGCGTGTAAATGCGACTGACATATTTATTAAATGCTCATTATACAGGCCGTCTTTTTTAACATTTTACTAGGTATTTTAGTTATTCAAACAATATTATTTAATTCCTTGCTGAATTTTCACCATTATATTCTAGTAAAGTGCGTCTAATCAAACAATTAACTGCACACATTATTTCAGACTTCATAGCCTTTAAATGACCTCACAGTCAGACAGCAACAAATTTAACAGACCGATTGGAAAGGCAATGCTTTTGCAAAAAAATTATTAACAATACGTTCTTTATTTTCCTTTTAGTGAAATTTTTACTGATTTTTGTTAATAAAATGTCATGAGTTTCTTTGTTGTTTTTTTTTAATTTGTCGTATATGGAAATGATATCCAGAAAAAAAGAACCGGTTGTTTTCTTTTAAACTGCGTTAAATAGGACGACATCTGAAATTTTATAAAAATGTGCCATTTGTGATTTAACTTTTATTTTTTCCAGTGCGATCTTTCAGTTTTTCTAAAGTCTTTGCTTTAATTGATTTGTTCAATAACAACGTAATATGATAGACTATTCAGTTATATCAACTTATACTTGCGCTGCATAATTATATAAGTACATTGGACCGCGACGAACAGATTTATTTATTCATAACAGGCTGACATAAAAGCTTTATCCCAGCCGCAATAATATGTTTGCAATACGAGCTCTGAAATAGGATCTACTTGTTTATATTTTGGAAAATTCCCTTCCATTTCAGTTGAATTATTTAAATCACACAATGTAAATACTATTCAAATCAAGTCAACTATTCAAAATCAATCGCTAAGCAGATCAAAATAAATAAACTTTTTACCATTGACGTCAATTTCCTTAAAAACATGTAGTGCTGCATTGTATCATATGTCTTTGCGGGGTTTTATAAGAAAATAATTGAAAATAAATATACGGACGAATTGTTGTACAATATTATTTTGAAGTGAATTTAGACCTCTTTACTGGGTAGAGTCATGGGTTTTTGATTTGTTTATTGTTTTTTATGGGTTTTTTTATTGGTTACTATAATATATTTGGTTACAATTAACTTACTTTGTTATCACCTTCAAAATAAATGAGTCTTTTTATAATTTTGTTTACCTATTTATATTTACTAACATATATGTATAGCATATTATAATATAATATTTATTCATTTATCTCAATTTCTTCATAAAGCTTGGAAAATGCTATCCTGTACAATAAGTGAAAAGTTTTACAAGTATGATCAAATCACAGTTGGAAGTGACCCTCTTTTCTGTATTTATTACAACAAAATTTATCAGTTCACACGATAGATTTTGCAAAAAGTCGAGAACTACACCAAACGCCGTATGCCTACGCTTTATGTCAATTATTGTGCCTTGGCAATTTTCTTTCTTATTTCTAAACAAGTTGACGGAATTTATGAATTTAGAAGAGCATTCTAGGGGAAACTTACATTAATCAGTTTAAACGAAGATTGAGGATGAATGGCATAAAAATAAATAATTTTGTCAATCAAATCATCACAATAGGGCATGTTTGTTTTACAAGACTCAACAGCATGAATCTCAGAGTGATAATTATTTTCTCACTCGCACCATTGCTAATTTCGGCCGACAAAAAGAAATTAAACATTTATACAGTCCCGTGTTGACAAGAAAAACTTGAAATATATATTTTTTTGAAATAGGCTTTACTCATAAAGCTATGTTATTGCACTATAAAGTCTTTGGCTTTACACATGAAGTTATAAAGTTAATGTACCGACCGAGACAGAGTGTAAATGATTTTAAATACATGTAGTATAGGAATCTTCATCTTTTTTAGTAGAAAACAACTAAACAATTGAAAGGTGTATTCAGCGATGATATCTACACATATTCTCATCCTGCAGCTTTGCTTTGCATTTGTGTCATGTGTCAAGGTCTCTCAGATAGAGTTTACAAAACAGCAAGAGGAAATGCCGACATTGACAGTTGAGGTAAACATTTGAGCTAAAGTAGCCTTAGATCAGTTGTTAATAATAATAATAATAATAATAATAATAATAATAATGATAATAATGATAAAAATAATAATAATGATAACAATGATGATGATAATAATAATAATAATAATAATAATAATAATAATAATAATAATAATAATAATAATAATAATAATAATAATAATATAATAATGATAATAATAATAATAATAATAATAATGATAACAATGATGATAATAATGATAATAATAATAATAAACAAATAACAATAATCTAAAAATAATAATTATAATACGAGTAACTATAATCAATGATGATGATGATTGATGATTATGATGATGATTACGACGACAAAAAAGCAAATAATTCTAAGTCGATGCTCTGTTTCGCTTTATCTCGAGGAAATAAGACTACAACTGTTTCAACTGGTAAATATTGATGTGTGGCAGCTTTAAAGACTGTCTTTTATATTACGTACATTAAATAATTGCATAAGAGCAGTGGCATATGTATTGAAACTACGACATAATATCTTCGTTCTATAAATAACATAGATAGAAATTTGATACTTAGAAAAAAAACGTAAATCAAAGCCGGGTACTAAAATTGACTATTTGCACAATGTTATTTAAATATACCTTCTAAGTGTCAATGTTGAATTTTGAAAATTTGGTAATTTCTCAATTATAGCAACTTCTTTGTTTACTAACAACGGGATTTGTTTTTAATATAATTTTTCAGGATATGAAAACTATGAAAGAAGATATACGGAATAATGCTGAAAGCATAAAAAACATTATCGAAGACGTTAAGACTATTGAGGAAGAGTTACAAAGTATGTCTGACCTTGTGCACAAAACATTATTAACTTTCAAAAATGCCTATAGGCCTAATCAAAATACCTGGAGCTGATACCAGCCCAAATGAGGGCATCCTGTGGAATGTCAGCTTAGTGAAGATTTAAAAGTAAACATAGACAAAAATAATTTCCTGTGCAGATGGTGGCGAAGGGGATACGACGGGGAATACCGTCCAGTTGAATACAGGCATATGCTTAATAAGATTCAATTGCTTTTTGAAAAAATGTTGTCAAAGACCATCGATGATATCTGGAAGAATTATCAAGCATTGACCCATCAAGAAAGCGAGTCCATCAAGTCCCGCAGGCTGGCTGTTTCACCATAGTTAAAAGTTATTATATCTGTTTGCCAATATTTTAAAATTATTGTTTGAATTCGCGGTAAATAACAATTTCACAAAATTTGTTTGAAGAAAACAGGTTTATGCAATTTCCTTTGGAGAGAATGGTACATACGCAAAAACCATTTTTTGATTGTCTGTTGAAACACTACATAAATAGTGGCACAAAATTTTGTTACTTAATAGTTTATTCTGTTTACATGCATCATGTACATGTGTTAAATAACAGAGCATTTTAACTCTTTCAAAATTTGACATACTAGTTTTGAAACAACAATATTGTACCGTTTCTTAATTGTATGGAAAAAAGTGCTATATAGCTCTTCTTAACACTAATGACACCGATATGGAGTGTGATTATGAAATAAATCCTTGCAAAACGGCGCCCACCCAGACAAAAGAGTTTTCAATTGCAATCAGTGTTTGTCCGTAAAAAGTTAAGTGCACATGGTCTTTCTGATATGTGTCAACCGTTTATTTTAAACATTGTGAAGTTTTGGCGTATTTTTTTTTAAATTGTATATATGAAAGCAAAATTGCCATGAGTTTTTTTTTTTTTTATTTATTTATTTTTTATTTTTTTTTTTATTTTGATAACATAAAACATTTATACTCGTACATTAAATGCCTGAATAAGTCTGTTTTTTACCAACCTGTAAATAATATGATACTGTAGCGTAAAATGTGACCCTTCTTAATGTAGCCTTAAAAGTGGTGTGTTGGGGAACACTCAATGTGACCGTATTCCTGTCAACCATTCTTGTCTGGGAAGTTTTAGATCATAACTTGTATGTAAATATGACACAAATACTTTGCTATGAAAATTAGACTGCAATGTAAAATGTATACTGCTATTTCATTCTTTTTATCTTTTGTTTTATATGTGTGATTGTTTTCTCTAACCAGGATATGAATAAAAATTACCAAACTGGCAAACTAATTCAATTCAATTTCAGAGACAGGAAGAGATTTGTTTGTCAAATATAAAAATGGTAAACATTTGAGAACTGACTTTTTGTAAAAACGTTTTTAAGATGATAAATATATATTGTTTTGACTCTTTTTTGTTGTTGTTTGTTGTTAAATATGGGGCTGTTAATTTTACTTAATTTTACTTAACAAACCAGTTCAATAATAAAAGTAATAATTAAGTGATTAAGGGATACCAGACCCCAAAAGGCACATATTTAAATTAACTTCTAACCTTTTCTTCCGAGGATTATGAATGATTAATTTTTTGAAGATGATGGGTGTTCAAATATGAATGCATCTAGGCCAATATCTCGAGTTTAACCACGTTTCGCACGAACTATGTACATGTTTCGTATAGATAGTTGTGTAAGCTCTCGATTGATATAAGTGTAATTCAGTTCAGTCTAGCTTTAACAGTAGCTCGATAAACGTTTTCTACTCGTAAAAAGTAAAGCTAAAATGGTTTGGAAAAGGTCTCCTTTCACTAACCAAACATAGTCCTATATCAAGAACCGCTGTATTCTTGGTATACAGGCGAAATACATATTTAATAAAAATATGTGTCATGTTTATGGGAACAATGAACTCTCTTTTTTTATCTGCCACACGTTGGTATAAGAAATCTAAAAGTGGTGTGGATAGCAATAGGATGCATCTAATGCATGCATTCGAAAAATGCATATTCGCCAAAAATGTTTGCAAAAGTGAACGATTTTATATTGCTACTGATGCAAGATTTGCAATAAGATATGAAGCTAAATGCGTTGGTATATCTGCAGGAGCCGCTCTTGCAATTCTCAGACGTGTAATAGAATATCAGAAGGATAAGTGCCAGATGGATATCCCATCTAAAATAATTGAATAGTTACAATGATGTTTGTAAAAGATGAGCCTCTGAGATCATTTTAGATGGCCTTCAAAAATATAGTACAATCAAGGTCATTAATGATTACATAATAAGATTAATAATTCTGATGGTGATGGTGGTGGTGGTGATGGTGATGATGATGAATAAAGAAATTTTGTAGATAGTTGTGCTAAGAACTGCTGAATTCAGGTGAACGTACATAAATTGAAAAACAATATGGATCTCCCTGTGACATAAAGATGCAGGAAGAAGGGCAAAATTTGAAGAACAAGGGAAAGGGTGAAAAAGAGAGGGCAAAACTTGAAAAACGAATGGAAAGAGCATACTTTTCGTTAACTACAAATAAAAAGCAGGGACACAAAAATTGTCATCACAACTGACATGTAACAATAAACAAGACGACCCCAAAATTATACACGTTTGATCTTCCCCTGGGTCACTTATACGTCGGCTAGTTAAGGGATGAAATATCCTAGTCAAGCATACAAAGTATTATATTTACAATGTACATTACACATATATACTTAAATAAAACAGGAATACTTCTTGAGCAAATTTACCTTTTGCTTAACACTTTCATGAAGATAATTTTACCACAAATCACAAGTTTTCGTACTTTAATCGCACATTTTACATTATGGGCCTACAAATTGAATCCTCATGATAACCATGTATACTTTAATTCCTCTTTGACAGATTTCTAGTAAAAATAAATTTTTATGCTAATAATAAATGAAACGTTTATGTCTTAATAGACATTTATTAAGCATTTGCAAGGAATTTAAGATTTTTTGCAATAGCACATGTTCACAATGTGAGTTGATATTTTTTAAGAAATATTTTTTCTTGTATGATTTTCATGACAAATCCTTCCCCAGCTAATGTGCATTGCTCAGTTTTGATAAAATTCAGCACCAGATAATATTATTGTACATTGTATACATGTGTTTTACATATTGTATAAGTTTTGGATAATAGCTTAAAAATCATCGTTCATGTACCGCGTACTAAGTATTGGGATATTGAATGATTATCATGTTTGTTGTTTTTAATACTAAATTTTGTGCCTGGAGAATATATGATATTGTTGGCGTTTAAATTTTAAGTATTTTAAGGGCAACCTTCTTCATCTGATTCCTCTTAGCTTTATAATGATAGTTTGCATTCATTGCTCCTTGTTAATGGAAACCATTGGTTCTGTCCCCGTTACGGCTAATCTAACAAATCTCATGTTTACTTGACTGACCAATATGGGGAATTTAGTTTTCATTGTGCCACTTGCGAACGAGTAATTTCCCTTTTCATCTAGCCATTGAACCGGTCGTCTGCGTTTCCTTCAGTTTATGTTTCGCGTATTGGGCCCATTCAAGTTTTAAACCTTCAGTGTTGAATTGCATTTCACTGTTAAATCGATTCACCTTACAACTTTGACAATTGTCATTTCGTTTTGCATTTTAAACGTTGTGTGCACAAAATTAAAACGTATGTTTTGAACTCTTTTTTCTCTTGACGTTTTGGTGGCAAACAGTTCATATGTTCTGCCCAAAGCAATAGTGCGAAACATGTTTCTACATTTTCTCTTCTATTCCAAAAACTAGCAAATTTGGTTTTGCCCCCAATTTCATAATTAAAATGTTCATGTGTTGCTATTGCTGCAAACGAAGTGGTATGTAATACATGTAAACAAATATATATCTGGAAGGAGAACCCGATTTAAAAATGTTTCTTATACTTTATCAAGACTTTCGAGGCTTCAAATTTTTAATAAAAGCTTTCAATGACAGTGACTGCTAAACAAATGCAAGTTTTAAACACCGACCTACTTGTTAAGGATTCAGGGGAAACCCCCTTCATAGCCCTTGAATAAGTAATGCATTACTTGTAAATATTCCGGAAATCCCCCGCTTCAATATCCGCTGAAACTTTATTTTTTAAAATTTGATCTACGCGTCTCTTTCACATGGGATCACCTATGACGCTTGTTTTCAGCAAAAATTGTGTCACCGCGAATGTGCTTTTTTTAACTTACTGCGTCGTTATCTTTTTAATATTTATACATAAATACGTGTTCAGAAAAAAATGCATTCCGATTCCAATGGAAAAATATTTCCCATATTAGCTCCTTGGTAGTTTCCCGATATGCCTCCAGAAAAATTGTTTGAAAACATTATTTTCAATCAAAAAATTGCCGCAAATTGGAAAAGTTTCTGCCAAGATTATCCGGGACAAGGGGCCAAGATCACCATATTATACCACTGAATTTCAGTAAATAGTCCCGGGAAGCTAGCTAATTTTTATTATTCAAATATTAAAAGATACAAGTGATGACGTAAACAATTGCACGCTTATCATTGCTATATCTAAATAGTGTACAAATTTAGGCAAAAAATACCTAAATAATTGAACGCTTAGTTATGGTGAAAACCTAAAATAGTGGTACACTTTGACATGTATAGCTTGATATTGTGCCTTAGCCATGTATATAAAGCGAGTGCCAAGTTGCCCCTTTTAATTCTGAAAAGTGTTACCACTTTAGCATGTTGTACCTAAATAGTGTTCGCTTTTGGCATGTATAGCCTAAATTAAACGCCCCTAGCATGTAAATTTTTAAAAAATAAATATCTATGAGTTTGGGCCTATGATTAAGCGTACTATATCGTTGTGTTATGAAGAATTGTACAAGTATACTTGAAATGTTGCGCACCTTAGATGCATTTGCCATAAAAAAAAATGTACGTTAGCGTGGGTTACCTTGATATTTTTCCACGCTTACATTACGCATTTATCATTAATTCCTAAAGCTTTATAAAAGTTCGTGTAACTATGTCAGTACATGTTTTTTAGAAACGTTCGAATGACGATATTTATTACCCTTCCAGATTTTTTTCAATAATTAATATGCACAAATACCCGATATTTCAAAAAGCATTAAAATAAAACCAAGATGGCCAAGGCGTAAAAAATTAAATAATATCGA